GAGCAGACGTGAAGTTTTTAAGATGGGCAGAACGAAGGATATTGGAGGTCACCACAGTTGTGTATCATAATATTGAATGGAAGAACCATGCATAAATCAAAGGCCGTGCGTGCTCTCTCCGAATGCATAACGAAGCTCTATATTTACGGTTTCACCGAGTCCATCCCGAAGTTCAAAATGTTGTTTGGGGAGCAGAGCAGATGTAAATCACGCCTCACTCAAGAACGAACCCCGCATCACTCATCGTGATGCGTGTTTGTGGAAGTCCAGGTTGAGCTGCAATCTGAGCTCGAGCTCTTTTGCGCTCTTTGGATTTGACACCATTGCTCTTTATATGTGAGGGATGAACTAGCTCACGATCAATGAGCATCTATACGGCATAATCTGAGTTCGAGGAGTTTAGGCAATCCTGGTTGGAAGATTTTTTTCAGCGAAAAATCTTTAGAAAATGGCCCCATTTTCATGGTTCTGCAACCCATTAATATGCGCACATGTTGTAACAATTCCATGAACGATGTTGTAATAATTTCCAACGTTGATGGCCTTTAATAATTAAAGACGCAGTTTTTATTTTTTGATTAGAGTGTATACGGAGACAACAAATTAAAAAGACTGGCAACTCTTCCATTTTCTCATACGAACGCTATGAGGCAGGTACAATCGCGTAATCTGCCGCTCAAAGGTAAATGCTTCGAACGGATTTGATAGCAAAGATAACATCCGGGGCCTCCCTTAGCTCAGTTGGTAAAGGCTCAGCTACAAAGCAAGACCATGCTGGAGGTGGCTGGGTTCAATTCTCGGTCCGGTCTAGGAATTTTTCGGGTTGGATAATTTCTCGACTTCCCTGGGCATAGAAGTATGATTGGACTTGCCACACAATTATACCAATGCAAAACTGGTACAGGCATCGAAAGCTCTCAATTAATAACTGTGGAAGTGCATGTAGAACACTAAGTTGAGAACACGCTATAAGCTTATATGCGATATGCAATAAGCTTGAAATGCGAAGAAGAAGAAGAAGAACATCCTCAGAAGAAAGGTTTGTGTATTTGCTCATTTTTCTATGCGTTTCTTCCACCTTTGCTCAAGCGCAGCGCTACTGTGTCTGTCGCTTAGATTCAGGCAAAGTTGCCAGTCTTCTTGATATGATGTCTTTGGTGTAAATCAATTGCAATGATATTTTTAAAGCAACATGTTTGAACAATCTGGGAAAATCTGAACATATCTTAAAAATCTGGCTGGATGACCGAAAATCTGGAAAATCCAGATAAATCTGGAATACTGACAAGGCTCGGTGCCAATCAAAAAATATCGAGCTTCTCACTCTTCTTAATGTTTTTTTTAAGAATGCCCTTCGGAAAGTTGTACGTGGTATTTGACGAACTTGACCAATGATGCCAGAAATGTAAAATATTTTTCTAATTTAATTTGGATTTTATTCGGAGTTTCTACCGCAGTCTAGCAGCTTGTACATCATTTTGCTCAACACAATAAAAACAACCATAAGCAAACAACAATATCTAGCGGTGTCGGTGGTGCAGTGGTAAGCGTGATTACCTCTCACTCAACAGGCCTGGGTTCAATCCCAGTCGGTATCGCCGGGATGTTCTGAGGCACGCCTTCCTTCGGGAAGTAAAGCCGTTGGTCCCCGGTTCATGAGTTGATGGGTCGATAGGTAGGGTACAGGTGTGGAAGCTACCTCCCTGGCGTCGGTAGCATTGGTGCTCAGCACGGAAAACAAATCAAGGAAAAAAAAACAACAATATCCATCGCTTAAAACACACAGTTCATTCGATTTTTATAACTTTCCTTTCGCAAATATAAACAATTAACAACGCCATTAACGTCAATATTGATTCCGGCATCACTGCCAGCCAGATTGATGCGATCGCTCCAGGTAACAAATTGATGCTGAACAAGTGTTCTTTCAACGATTTTAATTCAGTCTTAGTTTGAATAATTGTTGTACATAGACCACTTTAGCCTTTGTTCAGCTTTCAAACATCTAAATCTGGTGATTTTAATTAGCCAAAAGCTTAACAGGAATATATATTATAAGCTTTTCAAGGCATTAACCAATAGCCTTTTCCAACCCTTGTTCAGCCTTCTTGTTTTATATTTAAAAAAAATGTGGAAGACCGCTTCATATCTTATACTTTTTATGAGACTGCTTTAGAATGTTGCTGACTAATTGGATTTACATATTTATATTGTTATTATATGTCTAAAAATTACCTTTAATTTCGGGATTCAAACCGGCAGTCGCTGATTCACATGCGTCAACTATACCCACTCGACCACATAAGCATATTTGTGGCGAAATGTATGATCATTAACTAGAAGCGCGTCAAAATTAAGTTGAATAAAAGCAACCGGAAGAGTATTATACAGCTATGCAGAATTTTAAACAATAAATTGTGACAGTAAAACATTCCTCTCATTTCAAGTGCAGTTAACACAATGTGGACACAAGTCCGCAATGTATTTCGATGCTAGTTTAGTGCTATAATTGAATTATATTTTTGAAATTCGGTATGAAAATTAAGTGCAATATAAAGTGGTGAACAGACAAAACACAGAAAGACAAATGTTAATACTTCCGACGTCGTGGCAGTCCACTTCTAGGTGGAGCTATTCTTAAAAATCTCCTCTTCATTGTCTCTACTGCTGGTGCTTCTTAGGATTAGAAAGGTAGACAGTGAATTTAGCATAACTAAAATGTCGGAAATGCAACAAGTGACACTGACGATATTTAACAATATTGTGGAATAAATTCATATTATTTTATCAAGCTATCAAAATATTTGTAGCGCATTGCTGGTTTATGGAGTAGTATTAAGCTTAAATAAGTCTTGATCAGTCTTTAGATCAGCTAACTTACTGATGTTGAATTATTGGGATGCAATTAGCTTTATGCACTACTAATCAACTTTATATTCAGCTTGGTGTTAATCAGCTTCGTACACCTTAAATCAACCAATAATCAACTTCTGTTCTTACAATTCAGCTTGAATTGTTACTTGGGTTCTGTCTTTTTTATTCCACGATTGCTACTATCAAATCGACCAATCAGAAACTGGCTTGGATTTGACAGCAAATTGGCTCGAAATCGCTACCCGATTGTCAAGTCCCGTACCAGGTTCCGGCCATATCTCTGGAGCCAGTAGACCGATAAAAAAAATATTCATAAGCGTTATATGGCGGTTGTTGCATCCAATTCGGTTTAGTGATTGTCGAGAAACATGACTTAATTTCCAAAATCGGTGTTTTTCGGACCATGTTCCGGCCAGATGGCCGGTTCCGAAAGTATTCAGTAGTGTTTTATGAAAGCATGACACCTTTAAGTTAGTGTCATTTTCCTAAGCTGATTCAAATTGTATATGACACTAGAATGTAGGTTTTCCAAGCGATATGTTTACCCTTCTTTGTAAGAAAGGTAAAACTAAGGAGCACTTCTAAATGTTTGCTTTTGAATTTCGAGTAAGATGTTGGTCTCGTAAATGTTAATTGAATCCACCCCTGCCTGCATATTCCCAGTTTATGAGCGGTCATTTGAGCGTTTACACATAAATGTTGATGTTTATTTCCCTATCAGTATTCCAATGGATCAAACTAATCGAACGCTGTCAAGCTCTATTACCATTTTCCTAGTTCAAGCCTTTGTCAGTGAAAAGCCAACCCTTTCATTGGTACAGAACAGATGCCCCCACGTCAGCACCCACTGCCAGAAACTATCCATCAAAAAGTCAAATCGCTCCGTCCCGCGACGTGATGTGTTCCGTTTTGGTGGCAGCACTTGATGTTCAGTTTTTGACCCTCCCGGAACAAAGCCTTGAACCACCGAACCTTCTCAGTTCACCGATGAGTTGTTGGCAGTAAAAAATTTCATTTTCCATTCCGACTGTTTTCGAAAATGAATGACTCTAATGATAACGGCCACATCCTAACACACAACCACACACACACACTCTCGGGGAGAGGCTTTGAACCGGAAGCTTCGCTGTTCAGTTTTTTTTTTGTTTTTCGATTTCAACCTCCTCTCGATAGCAACCTGAAAAGCCAACTGTCGACAACAACCCGGCGGCCGTTCCGCGTCCCTGGTGGGAAGTGATGGCTGCCAATTTCGAAGCATGTTCGCACTATTTTTTCCGGTTTGGTTGTGTTTTTTGTTTTGTTTTCACACTCTCCAGAGGAATGAGCTTGCACGGTCTATTTTAGGCCGGAACGAGTTCCTCTATATCTCCAGTACGCCGGCACAGGGCTTTGGTACCCGAAAGAAAGGCTCACTCGCAACACCTGACGTGATGTTTTCTGCATTCATCACACTGATGCATATCATTTTTCCGAGCTACTGCCCTCCCATCACTCCTCCCCCCCCCCCCCATCGTCGGAGAATTCTGTTCAAGCGTTTGTGGGATTTCCCTTTCACGGTTCACCGCCGGAGAATGATTCGGGAGCTATGCGAATAGACAGCAAGGTTCGTTCTTCAACCGTTCCGGATTCCAGGAACACACACACGTGGTGCCGAGCCGATGATGGTGAGTAACTTTCCTCTTTTCACGTGTATGGCGTGAAGAGCGTCGGAAAAAGAGTGCTGGCTCCAGCTTGAAAAGAACTGAAAATAACAAATCACTCTTCATCACATTCCACTATGGACCATTGCACTCACCCGCCGTACTTGCCTGAAACGTCAGCATTCAATAGCATCATCCTCATGCCACTGCGTAGATACGGACAGGACCCGGAACGGTGGAGGACTTTTTAGAATGATGGCTCCTGATGGAGTGCGAAGCGGCGGAAGATAACAGAAAGAAGATAAAAAACCAGGAAAATTGTAGCAAGAAACGTTTCGGAGGATCGTTAAGATATGCACGGAAAAGCGTGCACTGCTCGCACGTGTGTATGTGTGTGTGTGTGTGTGTGTGAACTCTATCAAGATTCAACGATTTTTACGTAGGTGGCTCAAAATAGGAGGAGCACAAGATATCGAAGTTCCTTTGCTTGTCGGACCGGATGTGAACTCGAATAGTGATGGACTCCTTGTATTAAAAAGCGTTGCATTTGCTTTCTAGGAACCTGATACCCAGGCTGCATAAGGCGTTGTGATTTCTTTTTTCTTTTTTCACATAAACTGTGTTCTGGATCAAATTAGAACGTTGAAGGTCGTCGTGAAGCAACTTTCGGTGCTATGGTAGAAATTCACCAATCCTTGCACTGCAGGCATCAATATATTGCAAATCGGATTCTGAATGGATATCGAAACGAATCTATTTGATTTGATGCAAGCTTGATCCGCGCCGTGTATTTCGATGCTAATAGCATAGATTTGGTCGGTTCGAGTCATTCTAGTCGATTAGTTGAAACCTCGATTCGAGACGTATCACATCCAAGAGCTGATGTAGCGGAAGTGGATTTCGAAGTGGCTTCTGGATCAGAGCAGTACACTTAGTGCTGAACAATGGTGGTTACTTGTTTGCAACTTATTCGAGCCACAATCGTGTTGCAGAAGCTTATTGTGATGGAAGTGTGTTGCTTGGGGGAGACTAATGCCTTGTGCAGACTACAGAGTTAGTACGTGTTACAGCGCTATCTTGATGGTGGTTTCTGTGTTGCAATTATTATATATTATTATATATTCACCAGAAGGTTCACAATCATCTTCAGGTGTTCCCAACAAACAATTTTAGCTGCAGATTAGCTTACTCAGCCAAAATTTGCCTTATGCAGCTAATTTTTGCCTGTATAAGCTAAGCTGCAGCTAAAATTGTTTGTTGGGTTGTCTTATGCAAAGGAAGAGAATCCTCATTTACTTCATCGTTCACTGTCATCAGGTGTACCATCGCTGTCGCTATTCTCGGTTTCAAATTCACTGACTTTCTTAAGATCTGCAGTACTGCGCCTGTAATGTTTTTCAGTGCGTTTAGACTGGACAATGGTATCTGTTCCTGACCTACGATTAACAATGTACTCCTCATTTGCAAAGTCTGTATCGAGCTTATTCTTCTTACGCATTCTTCTCAGCAGAACCACATCCCCTTCACGTAAGTCACTTGCTTTCGCATGACGTCTCCGATCCGTATATTCCTTCCCTTTTTCTTTTGAAACCAAATCTTGTTCTCGAACGCTGGCATCCTCCTGGAAATTATGCAAAGTCGGAAGTTTACTCCTTATACGCCGGCTAAACATGATTTCTCCAGGTGATTTTCCAGTGGACGGATGTTTGCTGGCATGCTAAGTGAGCATGTAAAGCCTTAACTCCTTTCTCCAGTCATGGCCCAACTCTTGTGCGATTCGTAGGCGCTTGAGAAGTGAACGGTTTTGCCTTTCGACCTCCCCATTACACTGGGGCCAGTAGGGAATAGTATTCAATAGCTTCGCTCCGTTGGCTTTACAAAACTCTCGGAATTCTGCACACTCGGAGCTGAATTGTGGAGCATTATCCGCCTTCAGAATTGAAGGAATTCCGAATCTACTGAATATGATTGATAGCTCTCTGATAACGTCACTCGTGGTCGTACTCTCCATCTCGATGACCTCCATAAAACGGCTGTAACAATCATTAACAACCAGCATATATTGTCCTTCTGGAAGTGGACCAAGAAAATCAAGAGCTACTGTTTCCCATGGAGCAGATGGGAGTTTGCTGCGGATCATTGGTTCCGATGCATCAGGTGCCGCCACTAACGTGCAACCTCGGCAATTCTTCACGAATCTTTCAACAGCCTTGTCCATCCTTGGCCACCAAACATTTGACCTTAAATGGTTCTTCATCATAACGATCCCTGGATGTCCTTCATGAGCAGTCGATAACACTTTCATCCTGAGGGAACTGGGAACCACTATTCGATCGCCCCTTAATAAAATGTAATTTAACTCGCATAATTCATTGGCAACAACTCGGTACTCAACTGGCACCTCTTGTATAGCATCTCGTTTCAACATTCCCAAAATTTGTTGTGTTTCAGAATCATCTCTTGAAGCATTTTGGATTTCCTTGCAGGATAATGCGGAACAATTGGCAGCATACAGAGCAACTTCGTTGACCATGATTTCTTCCGATATATCGAATGGAGTAGGATTTTCCTTTGTCAGACGAGAGAGTGTATCGGCAATGTTGTCTTTTCCTGCTACATGGATAACCTTGTAATCAAAAGTCTGCAGCCTTAGAACCCAACGTTCTATACGTGCGCAAGGCTTCGAATGCACGGAAAACAAAAACTTCAGTGCTTTACAATCCGTGAAGATCTGAAACTTCTTTCCCAAAAGATAATACCGGAATCTTTCAATGCTCCACACGATAGCTAATAGGCCTCCTTTTCCGTTTGACAATACCGTCGTTCTGTTTCAGTTAAGGACTTCGATGCGAAGCTAATTATACGGTGACGGTTTTCACAATCAAATTGAACTAGTATCGCTCCTAGCCCAGAAGGGCTGGCGTCGGCTATTGCAGCCGTGCGATCTTCAACCTTGTAAAATCCCAAGTATCCGATTCTACTCATCGCCTGGAATGAACAAGATTGCTCGTCCGTCCATAAAAACTTTGCTTCTTTAATTAGGAGGCGTCGTAATGGCTCATCCAATGTGGCCAGATTTGGGATAAATTTGTTGAGGTAGTTTGCCAACCCAAGAAAACTTCGAACTTCGGCTTCATTTTGAGGTTCGCTGAAGGACAAAATAGCTTGGATTTTCGATTCGGCTGGTCTGATTCCGCTATGGGAGATTCTGTGCCCCAGAAACTCTAATTCTGTTACCCTGAACAAACATTTGCCCCAATTTAGCTCAACCGATCTCTCTTTCAATCGTAAAAGTTCCTGAAATAATTCAATTCATATTCATTCAAAAGAAATATTTATTCATTAAAACAAACAAGAAAAATAAAACTAATTCAAAAGTTCGACAAATTAAAAAAAAAAAAAATATGCTACCTTCTCCAGCCGTTCGTCGTGTTCCTTGATATCTTTTCCTTCGATGATGACATCATCGTCCAAATACCAGTAAGTTCCATCGCAGCCTAGCAATATCTCGTCCATGGCCTTTTGGAACAGTTCTGGTGCGGTCACAAGGCCGAATGGTAGACGGGTAAAGCGGAACAACCCACGATTCGTGATGAACGTAGTGGCATCACGTGACTCCTCCACCAACTCAATTTGTAGGAATGCCTCCCTTACGTCTAATTTGCTCCAAATTCCTCCTTTTCCCAAGCGCATGATGTAGTCATCGACAATCGGACTTGACCTTAATAATGTCACGCTGTAACAGTTGATCCATTTTTCGGTTGACAGCTTCTTCAAGAGGAATTGGAATCCTTCTCATCGGTTGGAATACTGGAACTGCATTTAGGTCCATGTGAATATGAGCCTTTATGCCTTTTATTTTAGTGAACGGCTTCAATGATTCGATCATTGGGTTGACCTGTATCTCCACACGTAGGACACCTAGCTCTTTAGCAGTGACGTCACCCAACAAGCAACGCTGGCCACCTTTCACAACAAGAAACTCTGCAAGGACTTCACGTTCACCTACTGCTATGAGTGATACGAACGATCCCAAGATACTTAAAGGTTTATCAGTACCGTATGCTTTTAAGATTCGAGAGGATCCCTTTGTCGAAGAGGATACTGCGACATTGTGTGACTTGAGGTCAGTCCACGCGTCATCGCTTATCAAATTAGCGTCTGCACCCGAGTCAACGTACATTTCCAGCTTCACACCTCCAACAACACATTCGATCACATTGGCCCCATTTCCAGAATAAAACGCGTAGTACACTTTATCCTGTTCACCATTTTCAGAATTTTTGCCTTCTGAGGTACATGCTTCTTCCAATTTTGTCACCACGCGAATTTGTGTTCCTGTCGATCCTTTGGAATCATTACGCTTACGCTTTCGGCACATCTTCTCGAAGTGTCCATGGTTGCTGCAACTTCGGCACTGCTTGTTGTGAGCAGGGCATGCCATCGATGCCGAAACGTGACCCTTGCGTCCGCAGTTGTAGCAAACTAAAGCCAGCCTAATTAGCGATTTATTGCTGTTCTTTGGGTCTGGTGTCGACTGCCCTACCTTGTAAATCTTCTCTGGTGGTTTCGACGAAACAATTTCCTCCACCTGTTGATCAACTCCCTCTTGCGATATGCCAAGTGCTTCAATCTCAGCAAACGGTAAATCTTTCAACAACCTCATTCGAAGTGCATCCTTCGACCATAGCGTCCGTCAAGTAGATCTCTGTGAGTATCTGAGCTAGTTCCGTTCCGTACTTCTCAAATCCACATTCCGTGGCCTGTTGTTTCAAACGGATGACATAATCAGCAAACCGCTCGTTTGACTTTTGCTTCATTTGTCGCAACTTCCTACGCTCGGATGTGCTCTGAGGTCTTGGTCCAAAAAATTCATCCAATCTTTCAACGGCGGCATCGAACCCCCAGTTGAGCGCTACCACCGGTACGTGATCATAGTCCTTGAGATTTCTGAATACAGTTTGAAGAGCAGGACCGCCTAAGCTTTGCTCGCATGACCTTCTGGTCTGTAATTCCGTAAGCTGCAAAGTAGCACTCAAGTGACTCCTTCCACGCTCGCCATTCTTTGGCCAGTTTACTCGTCTCAATTTGGTTGCAATACACAATTGTTTTTGTTAAACACAACTCAACAAGTGAATACCTAGTGTTCATCTTGGATATAAATTACATTTTTTAACCACAGATTTCATTTCATACGAACACTCAAACGAGAACAACATTGAGTTTAACGGTCAACACAATCATGCCCATGACTGCTTTTCTGAATAAAACTAGGACTAGGACTTTAGCCAGATCCGTCAGGATGTACATATGTGTTACATACGCAGAAAATTCCAAAATTCTACTTTACAACAGTTGATCTTCATCAATTCCAAGAGAATGCTTAACATTATTTAACAAACAAGGAGAATTCCGGAAATTCTCGCTTCTCTGGGAAGGTCCAATTGACCTTCGCCACCTCCAAGAGAATGCTACTGATTCTCGACCCATCAAGGAG